TCAAATCTAGCTTGCTTGGAGGCTCTTGATCTGAATCATTAACACAAATACGAGCCCAAAGAAGATTATTTCTTTTCTTTGTGTCTTCATCAGAATCTATGTAGCCACCACATCGATCACCAACAAACCTCAATGTTTTCTCCGACCAGTCATGCAATGGAATACCGAAGGCCATGATCCATCTTTGGCCCTGTATTTGCTCTGTGGGTTTAGTACCAGAAATAGGAGACCACCATTCAAGAAAGAGTTTTCACCCGTTCCAGAACCAATCTCCAAACTTGACCCTCTCTGCCTCACGCCGTGAAGGAAGCTCAAATAAGAACTGATTATGAGCAAGTGGTGAAACCCTTAGACCTGATGTCACCATCTATCTAGTAATAAACCATTTCTGTAAAACTTCAGGTTGTGGGTTGGAGCAACATGAATCATTAAAACCACTAACTAGGCAACGAGATAGGAACTGCTCTTTTACTTCTTCCGGCTTGGTCTGAGAAGCCATTTCTGGCCATTTTTGCAAGTTGGCTGCTTGAATGTAAGACTTCTCAGGTGTAGTGAATCTATGAAGAATTGGGTTAGAGTTACCCAAAAACCTAAAAATCTTATCAGCAATGTCACACCATCCAATGTTGTACTCGGTTTCCGGGATGATAATGGCCGATTTTCTGGCATCAATCCACTTTTCAATACGAATGAAGCGCCCATATATATTGAAGTTCTGGTATACTCTATGTAATAAATTTTGTTGCTTTCTTCCCCATCTTCTGTATAGATCCCCCGAGCCCTTAGATGTCAGCCGTAAATTACCACAAACCCAGCGCAAATTGTTCTCGTCTATTTTAATCTTGCTAATAAAATGACTGCTCCTCTCTGTGAGAAGAAACCACCTGTAATGACCATCACTAATGTCTGCAAGTTCAAAAGATTTTCCACCAGCCTTAACTAATAACTTTTCCCCCGTGTTAAAAGTTGGCAAAGCTAAAGAGAGGCCTCGCCGGAAAGAGAATCATAAGGAGGGGAAAAGTTGGTGCACATTTCCCATGTAGTGACATACTCAAGTACTCCATCACTATCGTAAAAAGGAAAGGAGAGATAGGATCTCCTTGTCGAAGTCCCTTGGCAGCATTGGAAGGTTCTGTAGTTTCTCCATTTACAAGGATAGTATAGTTGACAGTCTTAATACATTCCGTTATCCATCTGATAAACCTGTCGGGGAATCTAAGCTCCTCTATCACCTATTGTAAGAAGATCCATTCTACTGAATCATAAGCTTTTTGGAGATCAATCTTTATCATACATCTAGGGGATATCTGGGCTCTAGTGTAAGATTTGACTAGCTCATAAGCTAGAATGACATTGTCAACAATCTTTCCACCAGGAATGAAGCCTGCTTAAGCCTCACAAATGATATAAGGCATGACTTTTTATAATCTGGAAGCCAAGATTTTAGAGATCATCTTGTATAGGATAGAACAACAAGCTATTGGTCTGTACTCTTTGACTGTGGTAGGTTTATTCACTTTAGGTACCAATGTAACAATAGTGCAGTTTATGGCCTTATAGAGCTTTCTAGTTGAGAAGAACTCTTTCACAGTATCTATGATCTGTATATTGATAATGTCCCAGGCTTTCTAGAAGAAAACTGTATTAAAGCCATCAATACCTGGAGCTTTATCATCACCAATTGCTTTAATGCTCTCAACAATCTCTTGATTGGTTACTTTTGCACAGAGATCAACCCTTTGTTGGTGAGATAGTGTAAGACCATTTTTCATGTACATTCTGTTGATGGCAGGCAAGGTAGTGGTAGCTATTCCCATTAAGCTTTTATAGAAATCAACAATCTCTCTTTTGATAGCATCAGGGTCATTCAACTTGTCTCCTAACAAAGTGGTAATTTATGTGATTTGCATCTTTTGAGTTCTATCCTTCATCACTGTTGTGAAGTACTTAAGAATTTGAATCTCCAAGTTGTATCCATTTTCTCTAGCTTTCTGTTAGAGGACACTCTCTTCAATTAGAGACCACTTCTCAAGGTTCAGTAGTACTTTTTTCTCCATATCAAGTAAAGCATCAGTGCAACCCTGTGAAATTTTCTCTTGGATGTCACTTAGCTCTATTCTAGCCTTCTCAATTTTCCGAGTAATTCCCCTGAATTCCTTAGAGTTTAGAGCTTTCAAAGCAGGTTTCAGATCTTTCAATCTTGCCCAAACTGATTTCAGAGTACTCTGTGGACTATGTGAACTCCATATGCTATCAACTATTTGAGAGAAGCCATCATGCTCTGCCCATATATTAAAGAATCTGAAAGGCACTCTAGCTTTCCATATGGAGGATGTCAGAGTTAATAGCATAAGAGCATGGTCTGAAATTTGAGGCAATCCATAGTTTGTCTCCACATGACCCCAAGACATCATCCATTCTCTATCTAATCTACTGCTGACCCTATCAGCTCCATGCTGCTTGTTAGTCCATGTATAGTAGTCACCTTTCCAAGGTAGTTCTGTTAATATAGTGTGTTGAAGGCAGGTAGCAAAGTCCTTGATTTCTGAGTAGCTTACTGGGTTACAAGATAATTTGTCACTGGGTATAACATTGCATTAAAATCCCCAGCTATCATCCATAGGACTGGTATACTTGGTGAGAGTTGTTGCAGGGTATCCCAGAGGGCTCTTCTTTCTTCAAGCCCATTGTATCCATACACTACTGTGAGTAAGCAGTCAATATCACTTCTTCTACTTTTTACCTGACAATGTATCATTTGAGCATCGTATTTAATACTATTAACAATCAGGTTAGTTGTATCACATAGCATCCAAATCCTTCCATTACTTGCATCTTTATAGTTTGTCAGCACATTCCATCGAGGTGCAATAGCTTTTACAATCCTTTAAGCATTCCATTTCTTCACTTTAGTTTCTATGAGTCCCAGTAGCTTAATTTTGTTTCCTTTAATATACTCTCTTACCTCCTTTTGTTTATACCTTTTATTTACACCCCTTATGTTCCAGAACAACCAATTCATCATAGTTGCATGGTATTTCCACCTCTATCCCCAGGTGGTATGTGTTCCTCATGTCTACTTGTTGATACAACTTCAAATCTATTCTTCACTGGGATGGGGGTCAAAGCTGGGAAGTTGATGAAGTTATGTTTATGGCTACTCTGCATTGCTTTGCCTCTGTCATCCTACTTCTCCTTTGCAGCTACAGGTACTATTATGTTGTGTTGAGCATAGGATCAGGTAACCTTGTTATTCCTCTTTGATCTGCAACTTCCATATTATTATCCTCTAGTTGTTGTTCAACAGATGGAATTTGCGTTGCATTCTGAGGTTTAGTTGCAACACGTATAGCCTTTTGGTTCTCCATTCTTGTGTGATAACCTTGTTACCCCTTGCTCTCCTTATCTGATTTGGCCGTTGCATAACAGGGTGTGTCTGGGTAATGCATTTACGCCCACAACCAAACATTTGTCACAATAGGCAGGTTTCCAGTCATAGGTAATAGACGGTTGAAACTTCTTTCCATGAGGGTCCATAACCATGATTTCAGTGGGCAATTCTTTTGTAACATTAACTTCAATAAGCATTCGAGCATATGATACTCGAGTCTGCTTAGTAGTACACTCATCAGCGAAAACAGGGGTCCCAATTACACTAGCAATCCTGCTTAAAGAGCCAACTCTCGAGCACGACATATGCAATTTAGGAAACTTTACCCACTGTGGCATAACAGTAGGGAATTCCACTGTGAAATCAAAATCTGGAGTCCATGGTTTTAGAATGATGTGCTTATTAGCAATTGAGTAAGGGGCACCACATAATAACTCTCGAGCATCTGCTGCAGATTGAAATTTAATGATATAATAGCCTTCATCATGATAGAACAGTTCAAGTTCAGTAACATGTGCCCAATGCAACTTGATGTATTGCTTCATTGCATTGTACCCTGGGCCATCACTTATGATATATGCTATCAATGCACATCTCCATTTGTTCTCTTCTTCTTCTACTTCTAGTTTATCTAATTGAACCACAGGTTGACCATCAACAATTTGTGGCGGAATATAGGATAGTGACATACCATTGATGGCAAATCGATTCTTCTGAAACAAAGTTGTCCATGGAGCTTTAGGTCTAGTAGGCTCATCAGGCATCGCCACATCTTCCACTGTTGATTTCTCCAAATAACCTTGGATACTTACTTGATTTTGAGCTTGATTTACCAGATTTACTATTGCATTAACTGGTACTGGTGGGGAAGATGCTAATTGACCAATTGTCACTGGGGTGTTCAAATCTAGCCTCTTAGAGATACCAGAGTTCGTCGATGAAGAGACAATTTCACATGCAGAGCCTCCGATTGTAGTTGGTGTAGTTATCTCTTGCGTTGATTTCTCCATCGGTGGTTGATTACGAGTTACCACCGAGCTTGCAAAGGTAGCTAAGGGTTGCATCTTAGGTCTACCGCGTCCTCTACCTCTCCCTTTTGCCATGGCTGACACATGCGGCGTACGTTAATTAACGTGCGCCGAGAGCATGAGGAAAGAAGATACGAGCTAGCCAAGAGACGGATTTAGAATAGGTTGAATAAATTCATTCCTTATCTTCACCTCTCCTTTGTCTGAAGATGAACTCTTCCACCTACAATTGATTGATACAAATATGATACATATGTGATATACAAATGATACACAGTGTAATACACATATCATTTTTTTTTCATGTTCAGTTTTTACTTCTAATTTTCAATTCAGACCACCACAAAACTTTACCAAATCATCCCAAAACCGAGATTCAAGCTCCTTAAGATGTACTCAATTTATTCTAATAACACCTCCTCAAAAGAAAGCAAAAATTTGACCATTTTTTCTACAAATAGCTAATTGACTAATATTAGTAATATTTTATGAATTGGCCAATTTTTATAATGAGTTACTTATAAATGGACATAGCTGGTAACTCCCTTCTTTCTACGCCAAATTGACACAATTTGAGCAACTTCTACTAAAAGCTTATACATTACTACTAAAGCCATTTCTGACACATTTACATTTACTTGAAATGCAAATCAATTTGCTCTAACTAGGACGAAGATTTCAAGCTTATAACCTGTATATCTTTATTCCCAGTTTGGTGTCAAGTTATATTTAACGCAATGCAGAAGCCACTGGAGTAATGGTTCAAAATAGCTGCCATATAAATCTTTAAGAAATTTTGGTGTCTCTAACAGCAGGCTTACCTAAACACTACAGATTCAGTTTTCCCGCCAAATACCAGGAATGCATGGCGAGGCAACCGAAGGAGAAAATGTTAGCAAGGGAAGATAGTCCATGAATCATCCCAAATTTCTTGTTCATTGCTGCAAGCTTTGGATTAGCCTTTGCAACTTCCTGGTTCTTAGTCCATCCGACTTCTTCCCCGATGTTGGCCTCTCTTTCTATCTTATGCCTTTGCTTCATCATCTGCCAAACATCAAATGCACTATTTAACATCAGAATGACAAACACATATCAAAAGAACTTTTTGGGACTGTTTTGAAAGTTCTAATTTTAACAAAGGTGAGATGTTCTGCATCAGAAACAGTATCTCCCAATGCTGAGCAGTGCCAAGATTCGAGGACGTATATCAGTATCAAGGCTAAACATAGTTGTCTGCAGCAGCCTACCAATTCGCAACAAAGCCGCTAATAAATGAAGCCACAGTATTATCCAATTATGTCCATCCATTATTAGTCCACCGCAGCATCAGATAGTGAAATTCATCTATGCAGAGCAAATAACTTACTGCTTATTATCATCAGCTCATTTAAACGAAGTCCAACTACCAGAATCAAGGCCCTAAGAAACTCAATTCTTTGGGCTTGATGCTCCTACAAGGTAGAAATTTGTTTCTACCATCATTACTTGCTTTGTAAGTAATTTTAGCTTAATGTACTTGTTGAAACAGGAAGAGTAGAATACATACACTTGGGCTAGCATTGCATGTTTCCCTGCCTTGTAGATGACAAATATATCACATAATGTGGGTTTTCCTTCACGAAAGGCCTACACTTTTGGCCCATGGAAAATGAGACATTGGAAATCACCCTCCGATCCAGCTCCAAGAAACATGACACAATACGAGAATACTTATACCACTAGTTTCCACTCTTGTCTCTCAACCTTAACAAGTACTCCCTCTGTTATATTTTATGTATCTTAGTTTGACTGAGCACAAAATTTAACAAAGTAAAGAAGACTTTTGAATTTTGTAGTCTTAAACTAAATGTGTGTATAACATACCAAAAATACCCTTTGAGAATCTGGTGATCTTACACATGCCATGTCATTCATACAAGCAAGTGTCAATGGGTAAAATGAGAATGTTGGAATTCAGAACTTACTAAATATTGTAACATTCTCTTTAAACAGACAAAATACGGAAGTAAGACATCGGACTGAAACGAAGGGAGTATTCTATATCCATGAGGCTTTGAAGCAAAAAGTGAGGTGAAGCGCACACTAATTTATTATAAAGGAAAAGAAATTCTTGTATACCTTTCCCTTATTTAATTTATTCACTTCTTTATATATCTAGTTATTATCTCTGATAAATAGATGTTGATGGTCTATCACAAGACCAATGGTCCAACCAAGGATAACTCTGTAATGGGTTAGTTTCTTCTTCTTTGGGTTGGTCAACCAAAGAAGTGATCCTTTTGCAATTAGTGCCACTGGATAGAAGATAAGTTCATGCAATTCCATCATCTTCCAAAGACAGCCACTTCTGTTATATCTTTCAAGGGATTTTTAATCTCGTTGTCAGCAAACGCAACCCCTAGTAGCTCTAGAACCTAGCAGATTAACCAGTGTGGTAACAAATAGTCATTGAACTTCTTGTGGTCTCAAAATATCAGCCACCTCACCCATTGTGGTTTCTCCCTGCTCAACATAGTTAATCTGTTCCTTTTAAAAGGTAGTAAAATGGCACATTACCCTTTTCTAATTTATAACTCACTTAAGTTGACCAATCATAGGCAGACTACAACAACTTGCTGGTGACTACTATGCTTTCACCCAACCAGAAATTAAATCGTGAATATACAAATTGAGAATACTCATTGAAAAAGATAACTAATCAAGATTACTGTGAGATAAGTACATAACATTTTTTTTTCTCTATAACTTTTGTAACACCAGGACGCCACATAAAATTATCAGGAGAGTAACATAATGGAAGCACAAGGGCTCCAGTAAATAACGAAAATTTTATTAAAAATGAAGTTAAGATATTTATAATATTATTAAGTTCTATGAAGGGGAAATAATCAAGTTTACTACTTCTCCTATGGGAAGCTAAAATCACGTGGAAATAAGATTTTTCGAAGACCTACAATCTCTCAGAAACCATCCTGACTCAGGGAAGATTAAAACACAATAGAAGCAGAAGACTCAGATAGGCTATACCAGACATGTTGAGATTGTCGGTACACTTACATTAAATCTAGTATTTTCCATGAGTCTTACTATTTTGTTAGAGATGTGTCTATCACTAGAAAATTTAGTAACCCCCAATTGTCTGAAAACACAAAATATTGCTTATTAGAATGAAGAGTCCAAGTGTAGCGAGATGAATATTGAGTATTTATATAGTTGATCACAATTATCTAGGGATTAAGGTGTAGTTGTTTTAATGCGAAAAGTAGCAGCGCCAAGCATGAAGAAATAGAAAAGGGGTTGATGATTTGGTTTTTGAAACCGTGAGGGGGGGACTATTCCATTTTGCTACCATGGGAGGAAATTGAAGGTTGCTGAAAATATGGAAAGGAATTTACTCTTCTACGTAATAAGTTCATGGGACCTTCTGCGTCTCCCAATTTCAAAGCTAGGGAGGAAACCGGAGGTTGCTAAAAACATAGAAAGGAATTAACCCTTTCTTTGTAATAAGTTGGACCTCCTGTCTCTCCCAATCTCAAAGCATAGGGAAGGAGTTTACACTTTCTTTGCAATAAGTTCATGGAATCTTATGCCTCTCCCAATTTCCTTATGGTCCAAAGACACATTAGTCAGGCTTATGGATTCAGTTGATCTTAATCCACAAAATTAGTTGTCATTTTATAATGTTGGCATAAGCATTCCTTTCACCTGAATGACAATAAAATGTCTAAATAACAGCTCCTAATAAGTCTCTAGTCATCATGGGACTCAACTAAGCAATGATAATTTTTTTATCAGGTAAAACTAAAGCTTTTAGTGATAAGCAGCACTGAGAACAAGAAGGTGCTATACAGAAAAAGATTGCACCCCACTTCCTCATATACACTATGTAGACTGTGATGTTCTAGGCGCATGGAAAACTATGAGTTTTCCATGAGTACAAAAGGAAAACTTCCCAGTCCTTTATAACATGAACTTTATGAGTTTTTCTCCTTCCTCTATTAGTTCATTCTTACATCAAAATGACAGCATAGACTAACCTATTAGTTAATTTTTACACAAGACAAAATAATGATAATTGCTAACAGTCAGAAGGAAAAACCACGGGACGATATTAAAGGTAAATCATCAAAGGTGGTTTTCCACTCATAAGGGTATCACAATGCAAGCCTGCACCAGCATTCTAACAGCAAAAAGCAGCCACAGCCTACAGGTTTTAAACTTTTTTGAAATAGCAGCCGCTGGCATAACGCTTATCACTTGTGAAACTATTTCATAATAGCAGTTTGGCTATCCTGTTCTGGCGTAACTAGTTCTAGTTTTTTCCTGATATGGGGATGGAATATTCATGACCAATCCCTGTGACTGTGTTTCAACGAGGTGACCATTAATCAACTAAACTATTTCCTTAACCATGTTATTTCATTTAAGTCAGTCCAATCAACTCCTAATTTCAGATTCAACTCATCCAGGCTGAGAGGCTATGTTATCTGATCTTCAGTAATAGTTGGTGGAACGATTGCATACTGTGATATGACTAACCAAGGCTATTACTCATTTGAACATAAAAATGTAACATTATGGAGTACAATCTAGTACCTGAATGGTCATAGGGGTAAAGACAAAGAGATTGCTGAGGTTGAAAGCAAACGCAGCAAGAATGAACCCAAGTTGGTACTTCTCAGCTGCAGACGCAGCCTTCCAAGGATGCAAGTACCCAAAAGAACCCACGGAAACAGCACAACACACCCCCACCATGGAAAAGTAGGCTGGAAACATTTTACTCTGCAGATTCCCAAACTGATGCCTTGGTAAATTCCTACAACAAAAATACTCAAAGGTATAAGGAAAGCGGCAATAATCTGAAAACTCATTGAGCAGAGTGAGTACAGAGGATTCACGTAACAGGCACCAACTAATTTGGGATTGAGATATAGTAGTTGATTGATACTATTTCAAATAAACCCATTAGAAAAATGAGGCAAAAATACTAGTCTCTCTATCCTATTATATGTAACACACTTTCAATTTTAGTCTGCTCCTAAAAAATAATCACATTTTTCTATATTTAGAAACAATTTAAATTTTAACTTTTAACTTCTCGTTTTATCCGACATGATTTATAGACACAAATGTCTGTAGCTTATTTGTCCTTTCCTACTTAAACTTCGTTCCCAGTCAAAGGCCTCACAAAAATTGGACATGGGGGTTGAAATATAGAAGTAATATCTCTTGTAATGGACCAGTAGATACAAAGGATCTATATAGCTAATGACAACTATTTTGGGATTGAGACATAGTTGATTGATATGGGGGAAAAAAGAAAAAGGTAATTACAGAAAGAAGTTAAGGGGAATACTTGAACATGATGATACCACCGATGAAAGTGACCCAAAGAGCAGCGCCAAATGCAGTGGAGAAGCAGAGAAGATGAGCCAATTTCAGTAGAGTTACGAGCTTTGGAGGATGTTGACCCTCTGATGTTGATCCAAAAGTTTCTGGAGAAAAGAGTACTCCAATTGCCAAGAACGCTACAGCAGCTAAGAATCGTGTCATCCAAGCCATGGTTTCTGTACTTCGATCGAAACTACTGTTGCCGGACGATCAGAATATCAGGAGAAGTGAGTTTTCTGGGTTTTGATTAAAAGGGGGCTCTTAGCTTTGGTCTTACCTACTTCACTTCCAGAAGCTTCTTAACTAGTCCTCTTGCGATAGGTCGTTAGAGTACATTTGGGTCGTTGTGTATAAGAATAGTGAAATAGTAGCATTAATTATGCACATATTATTTCTTATCTATTATTTGGTGTGGTATATTAAAATTATAATGCATTATATAATTTTTAAGAAAAATAGTTGTTTACAAAAATATCCTCCACATTTTCTAGCTTTAAGCGACTTTAAGGACAATTTTATCTTTATGCATTACTAGCCTTTGTATTACTAATGCAATGATTTTCTATACATTATTTATATATAGGATAATACCAAGTATGATGCCAAGTATGATGTTATCTTTATGCATTACTAACCTTTGTATTACTAATGCCATGATTTTCTATGCATTACTTATATATAGGATAATACCAAGTATGATGTTATACATTACTAGCCTTTGTATTAATAATGCAAGCATTAGCTTTATGCATTACTTATATATAGGATAATACCAAGTATGAGTTATACAGAGGTTGAAAAAATGTAGCAAACAAGGTATTAATAATGCATAGAGCTAATGCTTGCATTATTTTTTCTAATACCTCCTACCAAACGATCCCTTATTGACTGATCGCCTGCTGCAAAAGTTAGTAAAATACAAAATTATATCTTTGGCTGAACACTCTCGGAATTATAGCCTGTTTGACTAAGCTTCTAAAATTATCTTATTTTAAAAAGCACTTTTTAATAGCATGTTTGGCCAAGCTTCTAAAATCTGCTTATTTTGAGAAGTGTTTTTTTTCAAAAGTTCTTTTCAAAAAGTACTTTTGATGAGAATCAATTTGTGTTTGGCTAATTAATGTGAAAAACACTTTTGAGCAATAATTAGTGTTTGACCAAGCTTTTGAAAACTGCTTATTTTTCTCAAAATTGCTTCTCAGAAAAGTGATTTTGGAGAAAAACTACATTTTTCTGCTTCTCAAAAACTGTTTTTGCTTCTCCTCAAAAGCACTTTTTTGCCTTCTAAAACCTTGGCCAAACACCTCAATTTTTTTTACCAAAAGCACTTTTGGCAACAAAAAAAATACTTTTGACCCAAAAAAAAAATCTTGGCTAAATAGGTTTGTCACGACCCCAAACCACCCCGGTCGTGATTGCGCATATCACAGTACTAGGCCAGCCGGTTCAACACTAATAACATAAAGGTCTTTTATAAATTCATTTTTCTAATCAAATATGATCACAAATCTTTTATTTTAATATATCAAAATAAGCGGAAAATAAATACGCAAATACATCAAACACTACCCAATCTTGGTGTCACTAGTCATGAGCCACTAAAAATACAATCTGATACTGTCTGCTCAATACATGATGAGTCTGATAATAACATATACTAATAGATAGGAAGGAGAAAGACAAGGTTGCAGACGCTGTGCAGCTACCTTACTAACTTCGGAAATGCACTAAAGGTAGAAACAACTCTCACTCGGATGCTCTGGCTCCTAGATCTGCACACAAGGTACACGTTACGCCAACTCAGTAAGTAACGATTATAAATAAAGGCTGAGTGCAGTGACGAGCATTTAAATCATATATATAGTCTAGCATAGAATCTCAATGGAAATAACAAAGTCAAATCAGTAATTCAATTTTCGAACATCTCGTAAAAACTCCAGTTTCAATGAAAGTGATTTAAAATATTTGTTCAACATTTTTCAATAGAGGCTCAATATAAAAGAAGAGTAAAACAGTAATTTCATAAAACAAGGTCGTCGGGCAAAGTATCACTCATATATATAGCCCCTCGGACAAGCCTCTCAGTCACTCGTGACTCAACTCTCATCAATCAGCACTCACACTCAACACTCCCGCTCAATAGATATCTCATAATGGCGCGCAACCCGGTCCATAAACATATAGTCGACTGCACTCACTAGGGGTGTGTAGACTCCGGAGGGGCTCTTACAGCCCAAACGCTATATCGTTGCGTCGTGCAGTCCGATCCAGATATATATATATATAGCTGTGGCGTGTAGCCCGATCCATAAATATAAAATCCTCACCATCAATCCCTCGGCCTCTCTCAGTCATCAACCTAACAGCCACTCGGGCATTTCAGTAAAGAAATCAGGGAACTCAGCCCAAACAATTCTCATATATTTGAAAGTAGAGTAATGAAAAAGAATAAAATAATAAACAGGTAGAAATCATGACTAGGATATGCTTTCGAATCAAAACAGTGTGAGGATCGTAGTAAAATACCCCTGAGGGTCAAAACAGTACGACACAAGGCCCCAAACATGGCATTCAGCCCAAGTTAACATAATTATTTTTAAACACATAGATTTCATATAGAGTTTATCAAAATATGCAACTCTACAGTTGCTCCGGGACGGACTAAGTCACAATTTCTGCCGGTGCACGCTCACATAGATTTCGAATCAAACAATAAACAATAAATAGGTAGAAATCATGACTGAGGATATGCTTTCGAATCAAAACAGTGTGAGGATCGTAGTAAAATACCCATGAGGGTCAAAAGAGTATGGCACAAGGCCCCAACATGGCATTCAGCCCAAGGTAAAAGAATTATTTCTAAACACATAGATTTCATATAGAGTTTATCAAAATATGCAACTCTACAGTTTCCACGAGACGGACTAAGTCAAAATCTTTGCTGGTGCACGCCCACACGCCCGTCTCCTAACAAGTGCGTCACCTCATTTATCAAATTAGTACGAAATTTTGGGGTTTTATACCCTCAAGTCTAGATTTACAATCGTTACTTACCTCAACTGGTCAATCCTCTACTCCGCAATGCCCTTGCCTCTTGAACTGGTCTCCAAACGCCTCGAATCTAGCCACAAACAATTCGATATAATCAACACGAGCTAAAGGAATCTATCCCATAAGAAAATGCTAAGCTTAAGACCAAAAGTCAACTCAAAAGTTGGGCCCCGGGCCCACGTCTCGAAATCTGACCAAAGTCACAAAATCCGACAACCCACTCGGTTACGAGACTAACCATACTAGTTTCACTCAATTCCGACTTCGAATCGGCTTTCAAATTCCAAAAGTTCATTTTATGAAGTTCCACAAATTTTCCCCAATTTTCGCCCCAAATCACTAGTCAAATGATAAAATCAATGATAGATCCATCTCTTTTATCCAAATCCGAGTTAGAATCACTTAGCCCGATGAATTTCTTGAAAAACCTTCGAAAAATCGTCAAGATCCGAGCTCTCTAGGTCACAATATGAAATAAAACCCTAAATCTCATATTTATAGTGCACCTCTCGGATTCTCATTTTCGCTGACAGCCAAAAATCACCACCCCAGCGTTCACTCCTCCGCGGTCGCGAAAACGTATAGCGGTCGCGAAAAAGTAGCGCGGTCCACGCTTCTGGTGATGCACAGATAGGCCTTAGTATTTTGGCCATAACTTTCTCTATAGATGTCTAAATGATGATTTCTTTACCTTTCTGGAACCTAGACACGAAGGACTACAACTTTCGTTTTTGAATCATCTCAAAATTCCTTTATATTAAAAGATATAGGCTTCCGAAGTCATACTAGCGAATCTGCAGATCTTCCTCGGAGCGCCTACGCGACCAAATTTTCGATGTCAGCGCCCCAAATTCCGCCCTCAGCGAAAATTCCTCTGCCCTCAGTGAAAATTACGCACTAGAACCATGCATGAGTTTCGGTAATGCCCGGACTCGCTCAAAGCTTACCCGAAATACACTCGAGGCCTCCGTAACCTCTACCAAATGTACCATCAAGTCCTAAAATACCATACAAACTCAATCGAGCTCTCGAATCACCTCAAAAATAACAAAAACATGAATCGCACACCAATTCAAGCTTAATGAACTTGAAACCTCAAACTTCCACAACCGATGATGAAATCTATCAAACCTCGTCCAAATAACCTCAAATTTTGCACACACATCACAAATGACACAACAGGCCTACTCCAATTACCATAATTCCATTCCGACCCCGATTTCAAGATTTCCACTGCCGACTGTAAAATGCCAAATTTCCAATTTCGCCAATTCTAGCCTAAATCTACCACGGACCTCCAAATTACATTTCAAACACGCTCTTAAGTCCAAAATCACCTAATGAAGCTATCCGAACCATCATAATTCACATCCGAGAACTTCTACACATAAGTCAATATCCGGTTGACTTTTCCAAGTTAAGCTTCCTAATAAGAGACTACATGTCTTATTTCACTCCATGACCATTCCGAACACAGAACAACCAACACGATATGATAAAATACAACTGAACAACACATAAAGAAGCAGAAATTGGCAGAACGGAACTGTAACTCATGAAACGACCGACTGGGTCGTTACATCCTTCCATTATTAAGCAAACGTTCGTCCTCGAACGAGTCAAGAAACATACCTGGAATCTCAAATAGGCGAGGATATCTGCTCCGCATGTCCCGCTCGGTTTCCCAAGTAGCCTCCTCCACGGGCCGACTTCTCCACTGCACTTTCACTAAAGCTATATCCTTTGATCTCAACTTTTGGACCTGCAGCTCCAAAATAGCCATCAGCTCCATATCGTAAGTCAAATCATCATCTAACTGAACCGTGCTGAAATCCAAAATATGAGACGGATCACCAATATACTTTCGGAGTATAGAAACATGAAATACCGGATGTACACTCGACAAGATAGGTGGTAAAGCAAGCTCATAAGTCACCTCCTCAATTATCCGAAGCACCTCAAAAGGCCCAATGAACCGAGAACTTAATTTACCCTTCTTCTCAAATCTCATAACACCCTTCATGGGTGAAACCTTCAGTAGAACCTTCTCCCCAACCATGTACGACACATCCCGAACCTTCCTGTCAGCATAACTCTTTTGTCTTGACTGCGCTGTACGAAGCCACTCCTGAATCACTTTCACCTTGTCCAAGGTATCTTGCACTAAGTTTGTCCCCAAAATCTTGGCCTCACCTAGCTCAAACGATCCTACTGGAGATCTACACCATCTCCTATATAAAGCCT